CCCTCCCAATGCAGAAGTTTGGGGACACAGAGTGTTGTGCCACGGTGGGAGGTCCGGCAGGTAGGTGTCTGCCGATTTAGTGTTTGGCAACCAGTGGAGCTGGCGGGGTAGGATCTGGAAGGGAGCCAGGGAACTCGTGGGAGGGAAAAGATCTCCAGCCTTGTCTGGCCCCATGGGACACTCGAAAACAGTTTATAAAAATCGGGGCCAGAGAGTAGAAGAGAAAGGAGTCATCAGAATCAAAAACTACATAGTGGAAAGATTTGTGGGTTTTTTCTTCTTTTCTAAAAGGCAAAAAACTACAAACAGCCCAGGTCCTGAGTTCCCCAAGACTTGGGTCCTCCACCGCCCCCTGAAACTCGGCAGGAGGGGGCTGGGGAGCGGGGAGAGGTTGGTTCTTTAAAAAGTCACCCCTGGCTGGGAAGGCGCTTCGTTTTCCATGGCCTTCCTCTGCCTCTCGCCGCCGCTGCCACCGAGGAGAGGGATGGCGAGGACCAGGGCTACGCTGGCAAACTCAGCTTCTTCCCCTTCAGGACTGTCAGGAGAGAGAGGGGGGCGGGCATCACCATGGGGCCCCTGCAGAGGGGCCGACCTCCCTCGCCCACAGCAGGTGCTTGGATGCTGGGCTGGGCAGAGATGCAAGAGGGTCAGCCCGAGGGCTCCACCTATCAACTGAGGGCATCAGCCTGAACTCTGAGGGGTGGGGCCAGGGACCCTGCTCCAGCCTAGGGGCTGAGCCACAGAACCCCAGAGGAGGCCCCATTTCTTCTAAGGCTGGCTGCCCCTCTTCCATCCTGGAAGGACTCTGAGGGCTGGAGGCCTTGGATCTCGAAGACGCTGGGGTCAGAGGGTCTAGCCAGGCTGGTCAGGCGAGACCACCCTCTCCAGCCCTCCCAGCCTTAATCCTGAGCAGCCGTGGCAGCCTCTAGGCCTCTACCCTCCTGTCCTCTCCTTCCTTCACACTGACTCCTGATTTCAAGTCTTTGCTTTAACCATCATCTCTTGCAAGAGGCCTCCCCCGACCACACCCTTACAAGGAAAGTCACCCCCTCAAACTCCACAACTGTTCACTAACATCCCTGGTCTCCTTCGGTCACCGCCCTTCTCACTGTTTGCAATCGTCCCTTTTCACTTGTTCATTTCACCATCTCCCCCAACTAGAATACAAATGGAGGGGAGGGCCTCAGCCATCTTTTTCCCTACGGTTGTATCCCCAGAGCCCAGCCCTGGCCAGGGACACAGAAAGTGCTCAATAAATGTGTTGGTTGAATGAATGAATGAATGAATGAATGAATGTATGTTGGAGGCCTGACTCCCTGAGGATGAAGACAGAGATCAGTCAGCAGAGAGAGGATCCTCCCTTCTCTGAGCACCGCTGGGGCTGGGAAGATGGGAATTCTGGCTTTGTCACAAGTGTGATGGAAACACTATGGATCTGGAACCTCAGGGCAGGAGGAGGGTTTATGACAAATCCCAAGAAAGGAAAAGTCAGAAGCCACCCCTGCCCCTTCTTTGTTCTGTCTCTTCCTCCACCAAACGCCAAGAGCTGGGGACAGGGATGCCTGGTCTCTGTAAAGGGAGACAGCACTGCTCACAAGAAGGCAGCCCCTGCGACGTGGGGGCTGAGAAGAGTGACTCCTTGGTCCTTAGAGAGGCAAGGGCTGGAGGTCTGAATTCCTCAGAGGGCCCAGAAACTGGGAGAGGAAGCCCTCCCTCGAGTGGTACGGGGCTGGTGAGTTGGAGCCTGGGGCCCCCAGGAGGGTGGGAACTGGAGAAGGAGTGGGCTCCCTTCCAGTTGGCGCCCCACGCTGGCTACCTTTGGTGATGTAGAGGTAGAAGAAATCGCAGTAGAGGACCGTCTGGACCAGGCCTGCCACGATGGCGATGAGGTCGAAGAAGCCCTCAAAGTGGTAGCGCCAGATCCAGTTGAAGAGATAGAGCGTGCGGTAGACGCCCAGCGCAAACAAGTAGTGGCTGGTGATGGTCTCCGCCTCGCCCGTCTTGCTCACCATGAACAGCTGCGGCAGGATGGCCACTGACTCCAGGTAGATGGAGAAGGTCCAGAGGATCTGCGGGGAGGCCGGGGAGTGGGATGAGGCGGGAGAGGGATGAGGGCAGAAGGGAAGGGGAGGACGGCGGGCATCATGGTTACAGGTGCAGTGATGTTGATGAGAGAACAGGTTCAGCGATGCCCACTGGGCACTCACTGCCTGCAGAACTGTTCTACCCGTCTCATGCGTGTTCTCTCATTTAATCCTTATGATGACCCCTTATTATTAGCATCCTCTTCTACAGAGGAGGAAACTGAGGCCCCGAGAGGGTAAGAGACTTGCCCAGGGCTACATGGCTAGTTAGCAGCAGAGCTGGGATTCGAACTAAGGCTTCAGAGCCTGCGTTCATGAGCCCTCTGCAATTTCGCCTCTCCCAACAGTGGACCTTGACTCTGAGACTTCCCTCTATGAGACCCTGGGCAGGAGACCCAGATTCATGGAGCCTCTGTTTCCTTATCTCTAAAATGGGGATGATTTTTTCTGCCCTGGTAGGGGCGACATTCAAATTCGTGAGCAGGACAGGGCATCAGAGGAAGAAGCGGCAGCAACTCCAGACATCTGTCTGTCCTTTTTCAGTCCTCAGCTCCCTGAAAGTCCCACCTGGGGCGGCTTGTGGTCTACAGACCCACCGAAACCTCCCCTGAGAGAACGAGGCCAGCTGGCAGGTGTACATCCTCCTGGGGCATTTAGGTTTGTGGGAGGGGCATGGGGATCGTCAGGACGTATTCATAAGAACTCACGTGTATACAGCATTCACTACATCCAAGGCACCGCTCTAACGCACCTCACGGGTATTAACTGGCTTCTGCCTTCACCCTACAAGGACGTCCTACTGTTACCCCCCTTATACAGATGAGGAGACTGAGGCCCACAGGATCAGGAACTCATCCAAGGCCACACAGCCAAGATGTGGGTAGAAACAGATTCCTCCCTGGGCAGCTGGCCTTCCGAGTTGGCTCCCATAATCCTTCAGAATCCACCAATGAGGCTCTTAGTAGGCCAGGTTAGTTGAAGCTCTCAGGAAATATACCCACTAAATTGATGTGTACCCACTTGATTGTTAGCTTTAGACTAGAATCATGACATAAGAGGAAATAGAAGGTCTATGGCATTTTCCTTTATTTATTCATGATGTCTGAATTTTTAAATTTCATTTCTTCTATAATGAAAAAAATACCTTTTTAGCATGTAGCAATTAATAGCATAGGGTTGAAAGCAGGTGGACTTGGGTTCAAATCCTGTGACGTCTCCCCTCTGAGCCTCACCTCAGTCCTCCAAGAAACAGGGAGGAGGAGGTCTGCTTCCCCAGGTGGCCAAGGGGTCCCACAGGATGCTGACGGATTTGGAATGGCCAGCATGGAGCCGGACACAGAGTTGGTGCCAATACTTTGCACAAGTGACCTCCCCCCTCTGAAGGAGGGAATCACAAAAGCTGGAGTCAAGAGGCCTAGGTTTTAGCCTGGCCTCCTCCACCTGGAGCAAGCCCCACTACCTTCCCACCAGCCTCAGTTTCCCCCATCTGCAAAATGGGCCCGCCTCAGATGCGTGCTCTGCCCAAGATGGTGATGATGATAAGTTTGCAAAGTCCAGGCCCTGCAGCCAGGCCTGAAGTTCCCACCACAGCATAGGGCAGCCTCCCTCTGATATTTCTGGGACCCACGGGCCAAAGTCACCCTCAGTCAGATCTGTCTGGCCTGTTGGGTGCTTTTAGACATCTATTTGGAATCTGTAGCCACAGCTGTCAAATGAGATCTCCCAGGAAAACACCTGAACTGTGGCTTCTGTTGAAAATATCAGCATGTCTGGCCACTCAGGGCCAGCTTCTTAGAGGGCAGGAGTGGTCCTGGGGGAGGAAAGACCACTCTGAGTTTGACTCCTGCCAAGCCCCAGGGGTGAGGAAATTGCAGACTTGGCACAAGCTCTCTCAAAATTCCTCCCAGGAGTCTCTGTAGGGCACACCAGAAGGCCATGCAGTAAAACCCACTACAGCCAATGTTTAGGGGTTAAAGTATCCCTGTGGTCCTCAACGCTGCAGTCACTAACAAACGCTAACAGCACCTCCTACCTACCTCCAGATACTGTGCTTTACCAATATTAACCCCTCATTAGAACCTATGAAGTAGGCATTGATTATCCCCATTTTACAGATGAGGAAACTGAGGCACAAAGAAATTACATGACTCGCCCAAAGTCCCACAGCTGCTAAGCAGGCTTCGAATCCCAGCCCTTGGGTTCTGGAGTCTTGATATTTAATTTAGCCACTAGGCAATACTGTCTGATCTCAGTAAATCCTCACAATGACCTGATCTCAACTCTACACTTAGAGAAACTGAGGTACACAGAAATCAAGCCCCATGCCCAAAGTCATGCTAATAGAAAGTAGCAGATCTGGGATCAAAATCCAACTAGCCTGGCCCCCCAGAGTCCCTGTTTCAAATTCCTGAGCTCTTCATTAGGCTGATGACCTTGGATGTGCTACTTTGACTCCTTAAGCCTCAGTTTCCTCATCGGTACAATGGGGCTGCTCTGAAAAGCAATGCATTAACGTACATGACATGCTCAGAGCAGCGTCCTGCATGTAGTGAGTGCTGCTGCTGGTACATGAACATCACCTGACTCCGGAGCCCATGTTTGGAACTTTCTGTCCTAAAATAAGGAAGTCTCAGCCAACTCTATAGAGGGAAGCCTTTGAGTGGGTCCACTGTCAATAGCCATTCTCCCACAGCCTGTCCAACAACAACAGGGACCCTGCCAGGTAGCCTACCTCTAGAGGAGTAAAGTCATGGTTGACCAAGAACGCCAGGATGGCCGTGGGAACAACAAGGAACTCCACCCGGAACGTGTCGTGGTTCCCATCGTAAGTGGCTTTGAACTTGCTGTAAATCATCCAGACTGTGGTGAAAGAGCAGGCTATGTAGACCACCTACAACGGGGAGGATGAAGAGGGCGCTTCAGCTGGAAGCTCGGGGCCCCAGTAGGCTTAATGCAGGAGTCTGGACCCTCAGACCCAGGACCCCCAGCCCCTCCTCCCTTGCACCTGCACCTGACTCCTGGCTCAGGAGGGCCCAGACGGTGTGCTAGAGCCTTTACCTTCATGCACGTGTTGTAGAGTGAGATGTAGTTGGTGAAGAGGTCCAGGTAGCGGGCAGTGAACACCACAGCAAACAGGACCTGGCTCTTTCCGGAAATCCCTGTGGTCCAGAGAGATGGGGTGGAGGGAGGCTGGAGGTGGGCTGCATGGACAGTAAACCAAGGCCCGGGGCCTGGGAAGAGCCTGGGAACGGCTCTGGAATGCAGCTGTCCCTCGAGGCCTCCCGGGCCGCCCGCCTGGGCCGGGCCCTTTCCCACGGTCTACAGCCAGGGGGCAGCCCGGCCCCGAAGCTACTCCAGCCCGAGGCTCTGTCCCAGGCTAGGCCTCACAGCCACCCCGGGCCCCCTCAGGGTCCTCCCACAGTCCGGACCCAAGGCGGGGCCTCGCGAGGACCCCACTTGACCTCAGCCCTCCAGAACAGGCTGCTGATCTCCCGCTCCCTTTCTGGCAGCCACAGTCCACGTCACCAACTCCCAGCCACCTCCCTGACTGCCACAGCTCTCTGTTCCCAGCCCCAGGAACCCCAAGGCCACCCAGATAGGGGCCGGAGGAGGCTGAATTGAGTTCCTGGACCCACCCCCACCAAACTGTATGCATCCCTGGTCTGGGGAAGGGAGCTGACCTCCTGGTGACCCCAGATCTGGAAAAGGGGATCCCCAGTAAGCAGCGGCTGGGAGGGACCCGTTCCCCTAGTGCCTCCAAACCCTTCCCCGAGTCCTAGGATGTCCCCTGCACTCTCCTCTTCTCCGGCCCCGGTGGGCGTCTCACCGGCACACGAGCGGGACTTCCAGATTTTAAGCAGGAGCAAGATGATGGCTAGGAGGTGGGAGAGGTCTCCCAGGAATCGGAAGAGATTCATGGTTGGGGGGAACTGGCAGGGCTGGGCGGGAGGGAGGGAGGCTGGCGTGGGGCTGCCTCCCGGGGCTGCTGTTCTGGCCGGGTGGCTGGGCTGGGAGGTGGGGCGGGAGAGGCGCCCTCGGGTGGGCTCCGCTCTAGGGAGGGGGCTCTGGGAGGGGGGCGCAGAGGCCGGAGCCGGTGGCCGAGCCGGAGATAGGAAGAGGGAGGAGGGCGGGAGGGGGAGGGGTCCTGTAGGGAGGCTCCGCCCCCGAGGGCGGAGTCCCGGCTCTCGGGCGCCCCCTACCACCCACTTCTCAGAGTTGGCGCCGAATATACCCGCCAAGGCTGCCTCCTAGGAACATGTGGGGTCGCTGGGATCTGAAACTCCCGAATCCGGCACCTGTCCCTCCAAGCAGTCTGTGCCTCTGTAAAGGCTGCAACCCAGCCGCCCAGCCTCTGCCCTTGACAGAGACTCAGAAGGCCGGTCTCTGAGCTTTAAAAATCCTAAACAGGGACCCAGGGGCTGGCCTTTCAGGGGCCTCCAGCTCCAATCCACCCAAAAGGCAAGAAAGCCCCTCCCTCAGACCCAGGAGTCTGGGCCCCAGCACCTTCATCCTCCAGGACTTAGGAGTCCAGGCCGCACTCCCTCCTCCCTCAGACCCAAAAGTATGGCTCCCTTCCTTGGGACTTAGGGTCCCATCCAACGATCTTGTGTCTCAAGCAACCTAGATCCGTGAATCTAGATACACAATCCATTCCTCTCTCTGGGACCCACGAATTCAGGCCCCCAGACTCTTCCTTTTCAGAAATGACACTTTCACTCCTGCTCTCCCAGACTCTGGAGTCAGTAGTCCACAGCCCTGGCTCCAGTCCCCAGTCCAGAACAACCTCCTCACAGGTGCATGCGCACGCTCTCTCTCTCTCTCTCTCTCTCTCTCTCTCCTCTCCTCTCTCTCTCTCTGCCCTGCGCCACACTCCACCCCAGCACTTTATAGAAGTGCAGGGCCTAGCCTCTAGCAGGAAGGGCAGGAGCCAGGCAGCTGGCCTTGAGGGACCCTCCAGGGACCAGGCTGTGTCTAGGAGGGGGCACACACTGCTTTCCTCTTGGATGTTTGGGTACCCATTGGTGATGGACATCAGGGTCTCTCAATAAAATAAGGGGTACAGAGGTACAGAGGTATTGCCCTCCTCCAAGTGCTGGATGGACTGGGTGTCTGAGGATGACACCCATGAGTCTTGGACTTGTGGGCCTCTGAGTGTGCTTTGTGCCAGGGGGTCAGTTTGTCTGAATGCCTAACAGGGACTCAGGCCTGGAGGAGGGGGCCTGGATTACTGGGTACCAGTGGAGAAGGGAGCAAGAGGCTAGGACTCCTAGGTCTGGGGGAGGAGGGGGCCAGGTACCCAAGTCTGAGGTCTGAGCAAGAAGGGGTCTGGGGGCTTGAACTCCTGGGTTCTGAAGGAGAAACGAGCTGAGGACTTGAATTTCTGGGTCTAAGAGAGGAGGGGGCTCGAAGCCTGGACTCCTGGCTTCATGATGGAGATCTAGTTTGCAGACCTGGCTTTCCCAGGCAACAGAAGCCAAAAGATGGGTCCTGGAATGGTGGAGATTGAAGTCTGGGAATGGCCTCCTGCTTCAGGAGCCTCAAAGTGGGGAGCAGCCCGTGGGCCCTGGGGTCCAGGTCCGAAGCTAGTGTCTTAATGCTGGGTTCTGAGTCCCTGCCTGCCTCTAGCCCCATCCTCCCTTTTTTATTTGCAGCCCCTTACTCTCTTGCTCCAGGAGGAAGGCAGCGGCTGGAGCCGGGGGTAGGGGGAGGCCCCCTCCCCAGCCCTGGCAGGAGGAGGGGTCCCCAGGGAGGCCAAGAAGGGGGGCTGTGGGTCTCCCGGCAGGGGCTGACGGGGACTGAATGTTAATCGCATCCCGAGTGAGTGTGTGTGTGCGAGAACAGAGCGAGTGTGCGAGTCCCTCCCGCTCCGGCTCCTCCAAGCCGTGGCCGCCACCACCACCCTCCGCCCGCAGCCTCCCTCGGCCACCGGTGCCCAGCTTGGGGGTGTCGGCCTGGGTGGGTCTGCCCGGCCCCCAGGGGTCTCTCGAGCATCTGCCATCTGCCCGGTGAGGATCTGTGTGTGCCCGGGT